TGTGTTTTACTCTTTAATCACATGAATCGATTTATATTGAAAGTGTTTTCTTTAATTTTTTTTATTTTTCTGCGTTCCCAGAATAATTGTTGCTACAAGTCATATTTTGATATGATAGCAAATTACCGCTTCTCAACAGTTCAAAATTTGAAAATTTTTCTTCTAGGTGCACATTTTTTAGTTTCTGAAATGATGAATTATCCGTTTCACCATTTGATCACATGAAACTAAATCATTTCTGAATCGATTTTTGTTTTGGTACAATTGGTATGTTTTTTTTGTTCTTTTGATCAGATTTCTTGAGTGTTTAGTTTGCTACCAGGTGATCATTTTTAGTTTCATTCATTTGAAATATCTGTTTCAACGTTTGATCCCAAGTCAAAACAAATTTTTGAATCGTGTTTTTGGCTGAAAGTTGTTTTTTTTGCTTGTTTTCTTATTCCAAAAGGAATTAACAGTTCCAGATGAACCTTTTGGGTTGCGAATGACTACTTCGAAACAGTTAAAATATGATGATTTTTTCAGGTGCTCTTTTTGCCATTTTGTTAATGATAAATTCTCAGTTTCGCTACTTGAAACGTGTTAATTTCTAATTCGATTTTTTTAGTCCAACGAGAATTTTAACAATTTAAGCTCATTTTCCCGTTTCTTTAAGGATCTTATCTGTTTCACCGTTTGACCAAATGAAACTTTTTTCTCTGAATCGAAAATAATTTAGTACAAAACAGATGTTTGTTTTTTGTCTCCTTTTTTGGTGCACGTTCTAGTGATGATTTGTCCGTTCAACCATTTAATCACATTAAAACAATTCGTTTCTGAATCGTATTATTTTCGGTACAAATTTAGTGTTTGCTTTTGGTTTTCTTGATTTTGAAAGAATTGTCGCTTTGTTCTGGTCTTCATTTGATGGCGAAGAACTAAATTTAAACAATTAAAACTGTTTAAAACTTTTCTTCTAAGTGCGCGTTAGGTTTTTTCTCCAATGATGTCTAATCCGTTTCACCATTTGATTACATGAAACCAATTCTTTTCTGACTGTCGCCTCTAAAACAAATTTTTGTGGGATATATCGTTTTAATGATCACGTTTTGTGATTTCTCTTTCCATGAATTACCCGTTTCAACATTTGGTCGCCTGAAGCCAACTCATTTCTGAATCGATTTTCTTGGTACAAAAGTAGTTTTCGCTTTTTTGTTTTCTTTATTCCCAAAATCTATTCGCTTTGTGTTTTTCTGCATTTGATGGCGAAGGACTAAATCTAAACAATTAAAACTGTTTAAAACTTTCCTTCTAAGTGCGCGTTAGATAGTTTCTCCAATGATGTCTAATCCGTTTCACCATTTGATCACATGAAACTAATTCATTTCTGAATCGATTTTTGTTTTGGTACAATTAATGTATGTTTTTTGGTTTTTTGAACAGACTTCTTACTAGTGTGCTATCACGTGATCAATTTTAGTTTCTTACATTTGATTTATCTGTTTTTCAATGATGGATTGTCAGTTTCACCACTTGATCACAGAAACTAGTTCATTTCTAAATCGATTTTTTTGTTTCAACGAGAATTTCAACAAATAGTCTCATGACTCTGATTCTTTTATGACTCGCGTATGTGTTCGCTTTTTTGTTTTATTTTTCTGAGTAATGATTCATCTTTGCTATTTTTCATCAGATGGCAAATGATTTTTTTTTTAAATTAAATTTCAATTGCTCATTTTGCCGTTTCTTCAAGGGTGACTCATTTGATTCGTTTCTGAATCGAAAATTATTTAGTACAAAACATGTTTTTTGTTCTCTTTGTGCCCAGAAAAAACTCGCTTTTTCTTTTTCTTCAGTTGATGGGGAATGACCGACTCTGAACAGCCGAATTAGGTTGAAAACTTTGCTTTTTTGATGCACATTCAAATAATGATTTATCAGTTTCACCTTTTAATCAGATTTTAAAAAATTCGTTTCTAAGTCGAATTGTGTTTGGTACAAAATCAGTGTTAGGTTTTGTGGTTTTCTTGGTACCTTAAATAGTTTTCGCTTCGCTCTGTGCCTCATTTGATGGCGAAGGACTAATTCTGAACAGTTAAGCATTTATGATTTCTCAAATCATGAGTTATCCATTTCACAATTTGATCACAAGAAATTAATTCGTTTCTGAATTGAGCCTTTTATGGTAGAAAATTAGTGTTCACCTTTTCTGCTTATTTGTCCCGGAATCTATTTCGATGCTGGTTATTCTTCGTTTGATGGTGAATGAACACTTCTAAACAAGGGAAAAAATTTTGAAACTCTAATTTTGGCTGCTCATTTTGCCATTTTTTCAATGATGACTGATCCGTTTCACCATTTGATTCAATGAAACTAATTAATTCCTGACTTTTGCTTCACATTTATTTTTTGCTGAAAATTTTGTTTAAGCAGCACATTTTTTTTATCCCTTGATGAATTATCCGTTTCGCCATTTGATCAAATGAACTACTTCATTTCTGAATCAATTTTTTTCGGTACAAAATAAGTGTTCGCTTTTATTGTTTTGCTTATTCCTAAAATCAACGTTATTTCCTAATTTTTTTTCTTGAATGGCGAATGATCACTTCAGAACAGTTGAAACCTTCCCAAAAACTTTTCTCTAATGTGTTTTGCTATTTGCTTTTCCTTGTTGCTATAAGCGCTATTTCGATATGATGGCAAATGACCGCTTCTCAACAGTTTAAAGTTTGAACACTTTCCTTTGAGGTCCACCTTTTGTAGTTTCCCCCAATGATGAATTAGCCGTTTCACCTTTGATTACATTAAACTAATTTATTTCTTAACCAAATTTTGTTTTGATACAAAAAATTATTGTGTACTTTTGGTTCTGTTTTTTTTATATATTTATTTCTGAAATATCGAGTTTGTTAACTTTGCTATCAGGTGATCTTTTTTAGTATCTTATGTAATTGAATTATCTGTTTCACCTTTGATCCCAATTCAAAACTATTTTTTGAATCGAACTTTGACAGAAAGTTTTTTTATTCCGAGAAGAATTTTCGGTTCAAGATGATTGTTTTTGTTTGCGAATGACGGCTTCTAAACAGTTAAACTGAATTTTCCAGGTGCTCATTGCTATTTTTTCAATGATGAGTTGTCAGTTTCGACAATTGACGACATGAAACTAGTTCGTTTTCAAATCAATTTTTTTTCAGCCCAACGAGAATTTCAACAATTTAATCTCATGACCCTGAATAATTTCTGATTCGACTATGTGTTGATACACAGTAATTCTTTTCGTTTTTTAAGTGTTTTTTTTTCAGAGTAATATTTGATTAACTCTCCTTTTTGGTGCACGTTCCAATGGTGGTTTCACCGTTTAATCACAGTAAATAAATCACAGAAATCAAGAAAACCACATCAGCGAACTCTAATTTTGTGATTAAATTTATTTACTGTGATTAAACGGTGAAACCACCATTGGAACGTGCACCAAAAAGGAGAGTTAATCAACTTTTAATGTTGAAACTTTTGTTTTTGGCTGCTCATTTTGCCATTTTTTCAATGATGACTGATCCGTTTCACCATTTGATCACATGAAACTATTTCATTTCTGAATCGATTTTCAAGTACAATATTAGTTTTCGCTCTTTTTTTGTTTTGTAGATTCCTAAATTTATTGTCCCTCTTTGTTTTTTTTATTGGATCGCGAATGACCGCTTGTAAACAGTTGAAACATTCTGAAAAATTCTCTACTGTTTTGCCCTTTTCCTTGACCTATGGATTTCACTCTTTGATCACATGAATCGATTTGTGGTTTAGAATCATTTTTTATTTTAGTACAAAAATATGTTCTTGTAAATTTTTTGTTCTTTGTTCCCAGAATAATTGTTGCTTCAAGTTCTGTTTTAATATGACGGTAAAATTCGAATTGTTATGCTTCTCAACATTCGAGTTGTTCTGAAAATTTGTGTTTTAGATGTCTTGCCATTTTTTGTGGTTTGACTCATGGGTTTCATCATTTGATCACTTGAATCTGTTTTTATTTTAGCACAAATATGTGTTTTTTCAACTTGTTGTTTTCTTTGTTCCCAGAATAACTTCTACTACAATTTCTGTTTTGATATGATGGCAAATGACCCCTTCTCAACAATTTAAAATTTAAAAACTTTTGTTTTTGGTGCACGTTTCGTAGTTTCGCCGATGATGATATATCCATTTCACCATTTGATCACATGAAACTCGAATGTTTGTTGATAGGCCTTAGTTGTTTTCTTCATTTTGTTTCCTCATTTTTTCCAGTGTAATGTTTGATTCATTTTGTTTTGCATTCATGAACACTTCCATAGAAAAAAAAACCTTTTGAAAATTTTTAGGTGCTCATTTTGCGATTTGTTCATTGAAGATTTATGCGTTTCGTCATTTGATCAAATGAAACGAAATCTTTTTGAATCGAGTGCTGTCTGAGTAAAATAAATGTTTTTATATTGTTTTGTTTTCTTTGTTCTCAGAATAATTGTTACTTCGTTTCTTTTTCATATGATGGCAAATGACTGCTACTGAACAGTTTATAGTTTGTGAAAACTTTCAGGTGCACTTTTTGTACACCATGTCGTTTCACCATTTGATCCGTTTCACCATTTGATCACAAGAAACTAGTTCGTTCCTGAATCGAATAAGTGTGGTAAAAAATTTGTGTTCGCATTTTTCCCGGAATCTTTGTCGATGTTGGTTATTTTCCATTTGATGGCGAATGAACCTAATAAACAATTAAATTATTTTGAAACTTTTGTTTTTGCTGCTCATACTACCATTTTTTCAATGATGACTTATCCGTTTCACCATTTGATCACATGAAAATAACTCATTTCTGATTCCAATGTTATATTGATACTTCGCGCCAGCTTTGAGGCCAACTTTTTTGTCTGCTGCTAAGACTTAACACATGTTTGTAAGAGGTTTGATTAGTGGCCGTCAATCTATCCATTCTCAGTTTCGAATCGAGTTGGGAGCCTCTTTTTTGCAAATTCAAGTTTTAGTATGAAAGAAGCGCCCTCCGCTGTGAAGTTATGGGATTCGGAACTGAAAAGATGCAAGGCGTTCTTCCTTGAAAACACTTCAAAGCAGATTACCGTCAAATCATGTTGTCGGACAGGCGGTCTGATCTTAGTTGGGACCAAGAATAGCGAAGTGCTTCTGATTGATGAGAAGAAAGGGTCTCTGGGGAAGCTGGTTGACGGACACTCAGAGGGTGAACTGAACGGCCTGGCCACACACCCCTCAGATCCCAATACGTTCGTCTCTGCTTCTGCAGATTCCTCTTTAAGAATTTGGCATATGAACAATTTGAAGGTAATTTTATAGTTGTCTCTAAACTACGATTAAAAAACATTTGCTGGAATTTTTCAACTTGGTAATCAGTTCACCTTGCCATTTGCAATAGGAGGCTGGCCCAATGATTGTAGGAGAGATTTGATTGGCTGTTCCGTTGAATAATAGAGAGGACACTGGGATCATTTTCAATCGCTCTAAATGTATTTTCATAGTTTTCTGGAAATAAAATGATTTCATTATTAATTTTAGCTCTTTGCCGAAGACTAAAGTGAACAATTCCAAGAATAAAGTGTTTTAGGAGCCCTCGAAAGTACTGCAACTATCATTGTCTTGCAGCTGTGTGAACTTCAGCGCCGATGGAGAACTAGTCGCGGTCGGGTTCAGTAACGGGTCTCTCAAACTTTTCACTACGTCAACTGCCCAATTGTGGGCACAGAAAAGAGACAGATCTGCTGCTATACAAGTTATCAGGTATACATTTTAACCTGAGATTATAATAGTAAAATTTAATATTTTTATTAGTCACATTGGCCGCCATATTTCGACAGCACCTATAAATAATACTATCGAAATCACCTTTGAATGACTACAAATTTAATGCTGTATTGCTACGACAGCTCCTTTTGACATCGACAGCGCCTTTCGACAGCACACATCGACAGCATTTTTGAATCAATACACATTTGATGCAGTTTTAGTGCATAATTTATATGGTGTAGATTTTTTATAATTCAATTACCTGCCTGAAAGACGCCTCATTCAAAAATATGCTTGTGAAAATATCATGCAAGTCAAAATCGTATCCTAGTCAAACTATTGATAAAAGGGAGTGGTATCTGTAAGTAGACAACCAAGTATTCATCCTTGTCAGTAGGAACCCAATTTTTATATTAACCAATCAGATTTGAGATAAGAACAAAAAACAGATAGAAAAAATATTTATGGTCTTTGAGAAAAAATATTTATGGTCCTTGCGTGCGTTCTTTTCTTGTCTCGATTCTGATTGATTGCCTGTTAATAGTGTATTTGTCTACTTAATGACGATTATGAATGCGCGTTTATCTACTTACTGCTACACAACTTGATAAAATAATGCGTGGGGGGGGGGGGGGTGTTTCCGTTTAAAAAAGATGTATCCGACTGGGCAAAATTGTATGCGGGTCAAAATAATTTTCCGACGTGCACCGCGCGGGATCCTAACTTACCCCTCGTCAACCAAACGGGATCTATCTAACTCCCCCCCCCCCATTCGCAAAAGGAGGGAGATTTTATACTTTCGTGCGAAATTCTCATATGCTTAACCGTTGAATTTTTTTTATTGGGGATAGCAATTCAGTACGAGGTACCATAGGAAAGGGGGGTAGTTAAAAAGATCGACCAAACGGCTATGGCTTCAATTTCAAATCCGGTACCCTGCACGTAGCCTGACCTCGACGCAGCGACAGGCAAATTAAATAGTGTAGTGGTAGAAATCTAAATGGGTCAGGGTCGTTAACTTGATCCCTAAAGAAATGTTCTCTTCTAACTGTTATGACCATTTGGCAAAACTCTTAAAATAGTGTCTGAAAATAGCATTGGTGGTCCATGGAGTTGCAGAAAAGTATGATTATATACCATCTTTAAGGGAGCTCAGACGTCAATTTTGACTACTTCGAATTTTAAATGTATACAGAACCTATCAGTTTCTTCTGTGATTTAATTGTTTGTTTTGTTCTGCAGCTTTTCTCCAGATGGATCTAAAATGGCTGTTGGTTCCGAAGATGGAAGTCTCGATTTGTACAGTCTGAGTGCCGGACCTTCTCTGTCAAGGTTGAACTCTGTCAAGGACATCAAATCGGCTATTCGGATGATGGATTTCAGCTCTGACAGTCTTTTATTGCAAGTGAGTCACGAATCTTTACTTAAGGAGGAGTTCAACTTTTGATATCTTCAGTATGCTGTGAAACTGTGAAATGTTAACTGTCTTTCCTATTTTTTGAAGAAAAAAAATGTTTAAAACAATGTTAGTTAAGACCATTTATCCACAGGGAAAACGACCAACATGTTTTTTTCTGATAGCCTGTTCCAAATTGTTCTGTCGAAAAATACCCTTCGATTTTTAGGGAGGTTTACTGAAAATATTTGGTCAACGATAAGCTACTCCGTTCTTAAAGGGGACAGAAGCCCGCCCTCAAAACCTATAAGCATTTTTTTTGTTTTTGCCGGTCTTCTTGGGTCACATGTCAGTCTATTTCCTCCTGGATTTATGGTTTTTACAAATATGTACATCTTAGCTGAAATTAGCTGGTCTTAGCTTTTATACATGCAGGCATGTGTTCCTTTTAGGTTGTGACTGGCGATTACGACAAACGAGTCTATGATGTGGAGAGTGCTGTTCAAGTGGATGATCCCGAAGTGATCTCAAATGTCACGTGGTCATCTTGGACTGCGTTAGTTTTTTTTATTAAAATTAAATCAAGACTAGTCAAAGTTGACATGATTTACCAATGCGATAAGCAAGAGTATTGCAATCAGGAAATAGACTTTTTTCCCGTAAACAATTTTGTTCACAGGACCTTCACTTCTAGAAGTGAAGATCCCGTGGAACTTCTAGATGATCTTTACTTCTTGAGTTTCTTGAAAATTCAAATAGAAGTACTATCAGTTAGCTAGTAATTAGTTCCAGCCTGTTTCAGGTTGTAATTATCTTTTTAATTGAAAAAATCTCTCATTTTTTGGGTTCCTGGTTTTCGTCCTAGTTTCTATCGGTTCAATTTCCGTTTTTTTTCTAAACGCCATTTTTTTAAATCTGGACAGAACTGAAACTTCACAAATTGGTAAATTTATCATGCCAGATTTTGAGTTTTTATGTTTATTTTTTTTGTTTTTTAAAATATGTTATTATATATTATGTTATGTAATAATTAAGTTTATGTTATATCGACTACTTAGTCAACTTATTTTGCGTAATTTTGAGGGCATATATCCAATTGGGAGTATGTGTTTCAGTAAATGATTTCCAATTTTAAGCGATGTTTGTGAACTTATCTGATACAAATATGAAGTTTCGTAGCTGTAATTTTTGAACTTTTGTCAAGTAATTTTTTTCCAACAATTTTCCTGAATTTTTTTGTGACTTCTGTTTTTTTTTCACTCACTATTTGATAGCGCAATGTGTTTTTCTGTGCTCTGAAGTTGTTCCTTTTTGACACATTACATTACGCTTTCCCATTACAAAAAAGGAAGTGGGCGAAAAATTGTGATTGATATTAGTGTCAAAATTAGACATCAATTTACAGTATTCCCATCGGAATAGAAATTTTAACTGTTGGCCCAGTTTTCTCTAATTGAGCTAGATTTATTACACAAGCAAAGCTTGTGTTATAGTATGAACTTCTTTTTTTCCAAACTAAGTCGCAAATATTGTTGCGACGCAAAAATTGCTGCGACGCAAATATTGTTGCGACAAAATGTGTTCACTTTGAAACTGTTCATTTTGATCAATAACCAGCTATTAATTACTGCCAATGCTAAGGATATTAACACAGACTAATATATTACAAATAGCACTTTAGCTTCAAGGTATCATGGATCTGTAGCTATAGGCAGGGAATGAGACCAGCATCAAAATAAGAGGGTTCGAACCTGGGCAGGGTAGGATATTTTAATGAGCTTTTTCATATACTAGCAAAAATGCGTCCGCTTTGCAAATTGAGGCATGATAATTGGTAAATTTCTTTTTTTTTTTCAAATTGACTGGTACTGCTAATGCGTCATAATTGGTTTGCGTCACATAGCAATTAAGTAAACTCTTCTTACAATTATGTAAGAAATTTTGTAGGCTCAAAGTTTTACTCATTTAGTTTTTCCCAGTAGAGTTATCGGTCATATTTTTGCTCGTGTATGCGAAGTGCAACTTCGTCTCTGTCTGAAAATAGTTCTAATCGTAAAAGGAGTTTTAACGTGATTGATTTTGCCTCTGATGTGCCAAAGTTGAAAAGTTTTCAAAATTTCAATCTTTACTTCGGTTTTCTTGAGATCGTTGACACTTCTAAAAGTCTGTTGGCTGTGCTAATGCGTTCAGTTATTATAAACTCAATATGCTCCAGTTACAAAATATAGACTTAATTTACTGAAGTATTGCAACTGCTCGTGACTATTTAAATCATTTTGAATGTTTCGTATCAATTTTTTTTATCTTGAACAAAGTTAGCTATTTAAATTGGCCAAGACCATAGAAATTTAAATTAAATTACAATTTAAATTAATATAAATACCCTTTGTTGAATATTCATCGCCAAGGCAATCGGAAAATTCGCGGTGTTGTCCTGATACCAGCAATCTTATGTTATCTCAATTTCGGTATTCAGAGTTTAAGTTTTGCTCCTGAAAGCTAATCGATCGTTGTTCATGTGGTTGTATTAGCTAATTAATGTATTTCAATCTTGTTTTCACCGAGATCTTATTAACGGAAAAGGAATTTTTTCATCGACGTTTGCTTTTAAGCAATGTAGTGGACTATAATAAGGTTTCCGTAAAAATGCTTCCTAAAACACCAGCATCCGTACACGTTCGCCTGTTAGTTAACGCTTGTTAAGAGTCGATGAACGTAGTTCAGACTCTTATATTGGTCGCGATAATTTCTCGTTTTTTAAAAGAAAAGTTAAAATTTGTTCAGGCTCAAATTCATTTTCGCGGATCTTCTTTTGATTTCAAGTTCAGTTCTTTGCGGTTTGACTTTTGATCAAAAGTTCAGTTCATTTTCTTTGTTAAATGGAAGGCAACCTCCACTATCGAACAGCGAACGTTGAAAGGTCACAAAAAACATCATCGACTTATAGTGTCGAAAGTGGAATTTAATTTTCAGATTCCCATCGAAGTAAAAAATTAAAGTATTGATCCAGTTTTCTCAAATTGTGATTTTATCGAGAAATAATTGTTCGATAAATTGTTCTACAATCATAAATTAATCTAAAAACTCAAAGAAATTTAAAGGCATATATTTTTTCTTTGAAATTCAGAAGCTTTTTTTCTGTTCAGGTGCGTTCACTGACTCTTTTCCAACTGTCTTTCGGCTGTGTTTTTGATTTATTTTAACGAATTATTTCCTGTTTTAGTATCATCGGCAAGGAAGTCTCCCATATTTGGCCTGTTGAAAACTTCGAAGCTCAATCTGCATCCGAAAAACGCACACAGGGTGACCTCATTAACTCGGCACATGTAAACCCGAGAGGCGTGAACAGAATTGCCACCGGAGACGATTCGGGTTACGTCAAGTTGTTTTCGTTTCCTGCGACTGTCGAGGACCCTGCTCGTGGGCCAGATGAAGTTGTGGTGAATGAAGTCGCGGGTCATTCCGCCCATGTGACAGCTGTCAGGTTTTCACAGAATGATTCGCATTTGATTTCGGCCGGTGGCGAAGACTCTTGGTTAGTTTAAGTATTTTTTATAAATAGTAAGCGAAGTTTAGCGGGTATGGCAGTTTATAATTTTATGAGCTGTTCAGTAAATAAATAGGTGATCTTCAAACAGAAAAAACGACATAATAAGGGATACTATCATAACAGCAAATCTGCATTGCATTAGTTCCAAACTGTCCCCACCCGATATAGTCAGCTTGCAGAAAATGTATATTATGATACAAGATTACAACTGATTGCCACTGTTGTTATGCAATTGTTACGCAATTCTGATGTAAATTGCTTAATTTTGGCTGCAAGATATGGCGGTTTGTAGTCAGGCGGCTAGTGGAATATCCGCCAATTAAGAATATCGAGATTTATAATTTCGTTACATTGACATTTTTGCCAATTTATGCTAATTCTTTTTTTCTGAAGTTCTTGATAAGTTTCTTCGGTAAATTTGGAGGCATGCTTTTTATTTTAATCTTTGTTTTGTTTCAGTTTGTTTGTGTGGAAATGTGTGTTCAATTGAAGATCAACGCAAAGTATGTCAAATGTCTCCTCAGCCTATTGTCACCAGATAGTACTCTCCTTAGCACTTAACTCTTATGCAAATTAATTCTTTCTCTCTTACTCTATCTGTATTATTTATGTAAATTTGTTCAGTGTGAATATATAAAAAAAACGTTCTATGTAAATTTGAATGTACATATTTCATGTTTTTGTATTTGCGTAATTCAAAATTGTGTCCCATTTTTTTCGAGTAGTAGAAAAAAATCTACGTGGAAATGAAAAGCGTTTGTAGGGGCTCAGAAAAAGCACTCGATAACTGCGATTTTTGTCAAAAATTCAGGCAACGTCACGTAGGAGAGGTTTTCTCAAATTCTCGGCCGCTGTGATGAAATTCCCTACGTATGATTGTTTATGAAGTTTTTTCTTGTAGATTGGAACTCTTAACCGTTTTGAATATATTTACCGAGAACCACGTGATTTTTTTATTCATAGGCGATGTTCACACTAGCTTCAGCTTAGTTTATTTTTGAGAACCAGTTTCCCGTCAATATTGGTGCCACTTTTCAAGCGCCTTTGCAGCTTTTTGATAGCATGTGCAGCTTTTTGATAGCGTGTGCCTTGACACTTCATTTCGGAAATGTTGGTGTCTCTTTTCGGGCACCTTGACAGCTTTTTGATGGCATGTGCTGTGAAATTCAAACAGTAATAAGTTAACACAGTTGATGTTTTTGACGCAGATGATGGAATGACCCGAAAAAAAATTATGTTTCAAATAACAACAATAATAAAAACTCGATTTCTTAAATTTCTTAATTCAATATATCTCACAAGGTTTTGAAATGCATGATTTGTACATAATGTGGCTTTATGCTTTGCTATTGGTTACATGCAAACTTAGCGTGGATGCCTTCAGATTGTTATATTCCAGATTATTACTTGCAAAAATGTGGCTGTTTTGGTACCACTTTTGTTAGATCGCATTGGCAGTTTTTTAGCATTTGTAGCTGCTTTGTTTGTAACTAGTGTTTCTCGGTGGTTAAGGGTGCGTGGATGAGTGGCTAGTGCATGAGACCTAAAATTTCTTTAGAATTGAACCAAGTTGCAGTTTGAATCCTATACCTAACCGAATTTTCGCTAATTCGAGGCTTCAATTTTTCTTGTTGCTTCTGGAGCTGCTTTTTGTGTTCTCGCTAGTGTTGCGAAGCGAAGCTTTGCCTCTGTGCGAAATAATGGATTTCAATTTTTGCGTTGATTTTGAAATCTTTTTGTATATATGTTTTTTGACATCATAATTAAATGCATGTTTTATGTCTTTATTCTTTATTTTGTTTCAGTTTTAGCAACTTTTATCAGCATTTGGCTCATATCAATCAATTTTACAGTCTTTCACTTTTATTTTGAACGGTTAAAGTGGTGTATCAATTGTTCGATGACCATATGATTATCATAATTTCTGGTGAGTCCATTAAAATTAATTTACCTCCGTTTGAAGATGTGAAAGGAGCGGTGGTTAATTGCTTCAGTCCTAATGATGAAGATATAGAGGTATATCTTGCCTACTTCTTTCGAGAAACAATTCTAAACTGGTTTTATTCGAGATTTGCCATGTAATCAACACACTGTTTCTTGCGAAATGACTTTGAACAGCCGAACGGAGATTTAGAGTGTTATTTTTTTAAATGTTTATTGCCACTGTTTTTTGTTGAGGTCGTGTAGTTTTTTGGCTAAGAAAAAAATTGTTATAATTTGTCACGCTGAAATTTGGTTTTTGCAAGTTTGATTCCCTGAGCTGATTGCAAATCAATTTGCTTTTTGCAAGGCAATCTACCATATCTAATCTTGAGATTGCGAAAACTGAATGACTATCGGCTTCGAAAGGGTATTTTATCTTAAGATTTCCCAGCTGAAAAATTTAAAAGACAAATTGATTGTTTTTCTAACTTGGTCAGCTTTATGGAATAAATTACAATCAAAAAAATACTCGAAAAAGATTTAACGTGGTGTAATTAAGAGTAATGCACGTAGTGAAGACATTTATATAAGTCTTCCTGATTTTTTTTGAGGAAAAGTCTCTAATAACTACATGTGCATTCATACATATTGTTGCAGTCATGAATGCACTTAAATATATATGCACTTTTTGAGTTCAATTGAAATTCTTCTGCTGAAAGTGACGTAAAAAGCCTTCTCCAAATACATACGTAGAAATGGCGTGCAAAAACGTGAAAGATTTCCAATTTCGAAAGTAGAATTTATTTGTAAGATTTCCCAGCGGAATAAAACTTTACCTATTGGTCCAGTTTTCTCAAGTTTTTTCTTTGAAGTTCGAAACTCGAGATTTGATCAAGAAAGGCATTTTTTTTATTTCATTACTCTTTTCCAATCTTCGATTGGCTATGTTTTTTTTGAAAATGTTTCAAAAGTAATCAGTCACTTTTCGGTTTCTTTGAATTTATTGATTTACCTCAATTGTTACAAAGTTTTCACTTCTATTATTATCGGTTTTTGCCGTCAGTTTCATCTTTAAAAGCTACTTATGAGTTTTTTTGATTTGTTGACCTATTGTAATTTTTGGTGGTTCGAATTTTTTTTCAGTTGGAACGCAATTAAAGCGCGCAAAACGATTTGTGATCAAAGTTTGTCGAATCTTAAGGCAGGTGCAAAATTTTATAAATGTTGGAAAACTGATGGGACTGATAAATAGAAAAATCAAATTGATGAAATTTTATGAAGAAAAATCTCTTCAGCAAAAACATTGTGCATTGTGTTTATGAAAACTGTCGTTATAACTGAAAACAACTTTTAATGATTACCCACTTGGAATAAACAGTTTAATTTTTCTAAAAGTCGACAACAGCAATTACTATCATAAATAACAAAAAAGACAGTAAAATGAAGCTTTATTTATTGTTTTAAAGTTTTATTTTGGTGAAATGATTTCTTGTGTCATTGCATAAATTACGCTGGGCTTGCCTTTTTAAATAAATTTAATTGTAATGAAACTTTTCAATCATAGAAAAATCTTAGCATTTCAAGAGATCTGATTCGATGGAAGCTCAAACATCAGTTTTTCCGTTTCTTTGAGTTTATTAATTTGTCTTTAAAGTGTCGCTAGGCCATAAGTATATTTCTGGGACAAGCTTGATTGCTTTTTTGTGGCTTTCTAATTAATTTTAACTGAATCGCTGTTGGCTCGTTTTCTGATCAACAGCTTGTCTTGAGTTGTTTTATCAGATCTAAAACGTGGCAAAGTGCATCATGTATAATTTTTTCAAGCTGTAAAAAGCAAAGATTGTTCACATTGTGTTTTTTTTTGCGGATAAAAAAAAGCGCTTGGTTTTTACTACTTGTTTTGCAATGATTTATTTGTTGATTTACAAATCAAAACATAAAAAGTCATCTGACAAAATCATTGATTTTTTTTGCTCCCCGAGTTTTTTAGTTATTCTTAATCTCTGTTTGGTTTTTGTCGTTCTCTCTTATGGCAATAGTCACGGGCAGTAATTCAAACGTAGTAGAAGGTTATCTGTTTGAGACGATAGTTCGTAAATTTTTTTTCTTAATTTGATGACTCCAACTTTGAGGCCGGTTTTCCAATTTTGGTCTTCAGCTAAGCTCATTTATTCAATGTATTAAATTAACGTTACTCTCCAATAGCTAACTGCAGGTAGTATCTACAGGCAACTTGTTTTACGAAAAAAAAAAACAATGTCCAAAAGTTTTTGCTCGATATGGTTTCAAAAGTTAACAAAAACTGTTAAAAAATTGATGTTGCACTGAATACTAAATGTTTCCTCTGGACTGATATCACCTTTGACCACCCTGCGAGAGTTTTCTGGAGCACCTGAAATTGCGCGGAAAAACACTCTACGCCGTAGTGTTTGCTTATCGCGTTTGTTGTGCTTTCTGGCTTGTGTTTGCTTGTGCGTGTGTTGAAATTTTCGGAAAGATTCAAGCTTTGTATCATACTAAAGACCTTTTGATTGTAGCTTTTTTTACTCCCAAAAATAGTTTAAAATTTTAGTGTCGCAAAAAATTGCTCTGATTTTCCGGTTTTATTGAATAAATGACACAGGTTGTTTTTTCTCTGCACAATTTTTTTTGCCAGGAAATCTTGTTATGGGTCAAGTCGGGTATCAGATGAAAACCCTGATGGGCGTCATTTGGATTTTTAAAAAAAAAGAATTTTTTTTTCAATAGGTCGAAAAAAGTTGGCCGTTTTTGTGACTAAATCTTACCACAAAATGCCCAAATGACAGACAAGATAAAAAACTGAGATCTCAGTGTAAGTGTTCCTTCATTTCTACATTATCTTAGCTATTATGACATCAATATTTTTCATTTTTCGAAACTAATGCAATATCGCTTTTCTTGAACAAAGAACAACAAGAAATTTTGTTTTTAAGAGAAAAATGTTCGCTAATTTACTCTATTTGTTCTGATTTCGATTTCAATACTTCTGGTAGGAACAATTTGAAACAGTATGTTTCGTTTTATCTCAGTTTTTTTTCTGTTTTCTCGCGGTTTTTAGATTCTTGTTGCACAGGAAGCCTTAGCAAGACCGAAAAATTATTGGTGATAAAAAAAATTCGATGAGCAGTTTACCTGATTTTGAGTTCCTGAAATTGAGTTCCATTAAGTTCCATTGTTACGGAAGGGTATTGCAACCAGGTACTTGACTTTATTTTGTTAGAAACTTTCTTCACAGATAGTTATGTTAACTGTTCTATGTTACTACAGAACTTTTGCAGTTTTTTCCAAGTTACTCAGCATCAATTTATTGTCAAGAAACCCCCAACCCTGGGAGAAATGCGGGGGATAATTTTGATCCCCGCAATGAAAAGAGCATATTTTTTTGATCCCCGCAATTTGTTCAAAAAATGTCCGATTCCTGGTATTTTTTGACCCCGCGAGTAACGTACTGCAGAGTATCTGAATCTGCACTACGTCTACATTCAAACTTTTCTGCTAAGCTTTTTAACGGAAGACTACCTTTTCAAAGGTTTTCTTGCACCTTCTGTTTGAGAACTTGAACCTAAAGTTTCGATTTGAGTTTCTGTTTGAAATGAGTTAAAACGCTCGTTCCATGCTTTTTTTTTTCAAAAAAAGTAGTCAATGCAAAACCTATTGTATCCAATACTTTTCGAAGATATTTGATTTGAATATATCTATGACAACAAGAAGTACTGACAAGATTATAATGACAAGATTATAATTACATTTGAAAACCCGTCATTTGTGAGTGGCGAGGTTGTTTTGTTCAGACTTTGAATAATGTGAAGAAATTCTGCTTTGTATCAAAGTACGCTTTGTGCTTTACGGTATCCAAGTACCGCAACTTGTTGTCTCCGGCAAAAAATTAATCTACAACTATTTCCGATTTTCCTTGATACGGTTAAGTCCCGTTTCGTCACATAACTTTAATGAATTATTTTAGTTCTGCTGATTTCAAGTGATATACAAATGTATTTACATTAGCAATCAGCTTAGTGTATTATTACGAACCTTTTTTTTCTAACCTATTTCGCAAATAAAGTTTTTCATCAAAAAGGTTCACTTTTTTGAAATTTCACTGTAGCATAGGGATATTGCATAGCATCTGTTCTCTGCTTTTTTTGGCTAGTGATTGAAAATATTAAGCTCCAGTGGCTTAGTGGTTAGTGTGTGAAACTTATAACCTCTAGGTTGCAGGCTCCAATCTCAGACGGGGCCGCGTTTTTTGCTTTTTTGAGTTTTATTTCTATTTTTTTTGTATTGCATTTATCGTTTTTGGAGCTGTTTGTTGTCGTGTTCTCGCTAGTGTTTGCGAAGTGAAGCTTCTCATCTGTATCTCAATTGTTGATCCGTTCAATTCATTTTTTGTTCAGAAAAACGATCGTATTCTAATTCATTTTGTCGTGGCGTGATTTTTGATTTCATTAGCTCACATTGTAAAATCATGGGTCGTTGAAGTTAGTACTTTTGACTTCAACGAGCAATTGAACAATTTTTGCTTCAGGTTTTTGTATTTTTTACTGCCTTTATTTGAGATATAGGGTTGAAACTGTGACAAATACTAGTTGAAACTATTTGAAAAGTTTTAGCCTCGTCAAAATTGGAGAAATATCAGAGCTGCTCTCGCTGTGGAACCATCCTCAAATTTTTTTAGGAAGCTGATAAGCTTGAGTGACTCAGTTTTTTTTGCCACGGAAAAACAATAGATAAAAAATGAAAGGGTTCTTTTGTCCGGCGTTAAAATTTGCTAATCATTTCGGAATAAATTTTTTGTTGGAATATTTTAATCATCAGCGTGAAATTGTTCATAATTTAACAGCCTTTTTTTTGACGTTGGACCAAGTAACTAATTGTCAAAACTAATTGTCAAAGTAAACTAATTCAGCGGCAAAAATTAAGTCAAGCCATCCGCTTCCTAAAGAACGAATTGCAGCACATAAGTTCAAAGTCTTGTATAAAATACCGTATGCGAGATTGGACACCGTATTGCGAGATTGTTTCCATAGCGGGATTGATTTTGATACTATTCATCGAAAAATACGCCATGAAAACAACATTTTTCAAGTTTTGATCCGGCTAGCTCTTTTCAAATAGGTTCTTCTAGCGTTCTTCTGTTAAATTTATAACCCCATATCCTATATAGTTGCAAAGAAAACGACAAACACGAAGAAAAAAAATTGCTCATTTGACATCAAAAAAATTTGCATGCAGTTTCTCGAATTGGATTGGTTTTATCAAAAAAACAGACTGTCGTAGCCTTTTTTGAAATTGAAAGATCTTTGAGGACATATATTTTTTTATTTGAATTCCAAAAGTGTTTTTTCCCCGAAGAAGTCAGTATTTTTTCTGCTTTCTTGCGTTCATGACTCTTTTTCAGCTGTCTGCTGGCTATGAATGAAGTCAAGCTAATTGATTAAATTATTTCCCTACAGAGGATATTGGCAGTGCAATTTTAATATTTTATGTATTTATTTGCAACCGAAAAACAATTCAGGGTTTTGCCTTTGAACCAAATTTTGTCAAGACATTCAAGCTTTGGTTGTTTTTTGTTCTGATTTGTTTCAAATCGATTCTACACAAAAAAAAATTGCGCGGAAATTGATCCGGAAATTTTGCGACACAAAACAGGCATGCTAGCTCTGGGCAATCGTTGTTACTGATTTTTTGATTTTTCACAGTTTTTTCAAGTGAATTATGTATGCGTAGCGAATTATCACACACTCATATTCATTCCAAATAGAATTGAGGCCATACTAAAGTGTAATGATTCTGTAACTGACTCAAAGTTTTGCATTGATATTCGATTTACTGTTAGTCCAAAGCTTATAGTTTGTCTGAAAACCACTTATAGGGCAATCGGAAGATTCAGTGTTTTGCCTTGATGTAAGAGCAGTCTTGGCTTTTTATCTGACTTTTTTTGTTCTGCTTGCCAACACTATTGGTGACCAATCAAAAAATAATTGGAACATTCCTAGTGTTAAAGGAAATTTCTTTTATAATTATTAGTCGTAGCGTTAATTTTTATAACGAAATTATTTTGTAAAATTTTTTCGTTGTTTTTTAACGCCCTAATTCATTTTTTGTTGGAGATCTATATTGTGACGGAAAGTTTTCTAATCAGACAATTTGACTCAAAAGTTTCATTACAAGTCTGTGAGCGTAAAAAAGAAGATAAACTCAATTATCGAACAGCGAAAGTGTAAAAGTCACGAAAAAACGTGATCTATTCATAGTTTCGAAAGTGGAATTTAATTATCGAATTTCCCAGCGAAATAAAAACTCTAGCTAATAATCCATTTTTTTCAACTTGGGTGATTTTTTTGGCAAAAAAGCGGCAACCATAAGTTTTTCCAGAAATTCAGAGGTTTCTAAGTCCTTTCTATTTTGTTCGCAAGTTGAGTTTTTTTTTTCAAAAATAAATCCGATTTTTTTTTCTGTTTACTGTTAATTGACTCTTACTTTTTTTTACTTGTCTGTTGGCTATGTTTGCCTTTGGCCTGAAGTAAATTCTTGAAGCTAAAGGTTTGTCAGTTTTCTTTCTCATATTAAAGTTTGTGTTTTTTTAAATCAATTTATGATTAATAAATATTCTGGTAATTACTTCAACTCAACTTTGCAACTTTTGAAAATAAAACAAAAGTGATAAAAACATTGAAAATCTGTGAAACCTTTTTTCTCCGTAGATAAAATATTTTTAATGAGAGAAAAAAAGCGCAGCAATCAACTGTTCGTTTTATCATTTTGACAAAAACTTCATACGATGGAGGTGGAAATTTGTTTCATTTTAATCTCAATTTTTTTTGTCAATTGTTTTGCAGTTTTTGTGGCTACTCAATTGGATGAGCCGTTTTTGCTTCCGTTCGGCCCTTTACACAATGATCGATTTGTGGATAAAAGGATAGATCAGTGTTCGATTGGATACGAAGTGACTGATCAAAACCGATTCATGTTCGGACGGACTGAAGTACACACTTTATACACATGTAACAATGCATATATTTGTATAAACAAGGAGTATCAGGTAAGTCGTGACGACGAGGGAAATGCATATATTTGTATATAAACAAGGAGTAACAGGTAAGTCGTGACGACGAGGGAAACTAAACCTACATGTATTTAGGACGAAATTTGTTTTTGAACTTTTACAGAGTGCGGTCAAAAAGTAGACATCTTTATTTCATACTCATCAAAAAAAAATTTTTTTTAGAAATGAGTTAGATCCAATGTGGTTAACTCATAGAGTAATTTCGGATAGGGTACACCGTCTGCTCGTCACGCTATCTTATTTTCGGCCGGATAGATTCGTGCAACTTCTTAGTCTAATACCGATCCTAATCTTACTCTTATACTTTCTAGTCTCAGGGTGTTTAACTAGTCTCTGCTAGGCTCAATAGATCTAGGGTATACTGGTTTGTTGCGGCTGCTGAAGTTCTCTTGGAGAGGCAACTAATTTCTAAGTTAAATTCAAATCTCTCTGGTGCTGAAATTACAAGTAATTTCAGCACTTACAAATAAGTGGGTTGTTAGTTAGATGGATCATGATTGGTTAATATTAAATACTTTACAGTGGTAAAATATCTAATTTATCCAACCATAAAATATAGTTTAGATCAGGTTCCAGAAAGTCGAAATTAGCTTGAAGAAAAAAAACTGCCCGACGGATAAGTATTCCGTTTTCTTTGTAAGTCAGAACAACAAAAATTTTTTCGTTTTTTGTTTTCTCAACTCAATTTTGATTGGTTAATTAAGCATTTGTCTACGTTATGACATGTCTAGTTTTGGCTACGTCACCAATATTTACGTACATATTGGTGGTGAAACTTTGAATGTAACTAACGTTTAACACAACTGCTCCTGATACAAAAGTAGATATTTTAATAAATTTTAATAAAAATTTTCTTAACAAACTAACTAAGAACGAAATAATGCTTGAAGCAACTAAATTCAAAATTTCCGACCCGATAACATCGGATAATTTTGCCGAAATGTTTGAGAATGAACCAAAAAACCTTGACAACCCTAATTTCAAAGCACCAAATCTAGCTCAATTTTTAATGTCTAACGCTGTGCTCTCCTGGCCTGGGGCAAATTTCCGATATGTTAAACATCCGAATTTTTGACGCAAAATTTTTGAAACTCAAGACGTAGTTCAATTAGCCGATTCCAGTTTAGCATACTCTCGGTTTAAGCTTGCCTAATGCAGATATTAGCCCTAATAAAAGTGTTTTTTTTTTTAAATCATTTTTGGTTTTTCAAATGTTTGACATATTGGTTTTTCGCTAAACGAAAAAACGAAAAAATATTTTAAACCTAGCTGACAATATCATTAGTCGAACTTCTGATGAATATTCAATGCATAATACGACAACGACTAGAAGTGATGAATGCGTTTGTGTTCCAATGAGTTCTAGCGTTTCACTTATGTTCTGAGCACGACAAATAACACTTTTTTAGAGAGGATGTTTTGGAATATTTTAGCAGTTCTTTAAGGCCTTCCAAACTAATTTCTTTGAGCTCTAACAAAAAACCTAATGCTGACTGACCCTTGTATGCAAAAATTTCCCACGCCGCAGTAGATTTTTGTGAACACTCATATCGATCGTGATCAGGCGCGGATTTTTCGAGGGGGAAGGGGCGGATTTTCCCAAAAAATTTTTTTTAGGTCGACCAAGCTGATTTTCTGAGGTCTCTCAAATCACTATAAAGACCGTCATTTGACCAAATTTTGAGCGCCGCAGGCAATTTTTTGAAAAAAAGGCCAAAAGGCGTTTTTAGGCACTTTTTGGAAAATTGTGACCAAAAAATTGCGTTTTTTCGGCGCGCGCCTCCCCCTCAAAATTAGTATAGATTGGCTTTGAATGCGCCTTTAGAAAATAATTAAGGTCAGTCAGCCAAAATTGGTTATCTCAAAATAGTACAAAGGGGGAACCCTTTATGTTGGTAGGGGGTCGAATCCCTGAGGGGGGGGGGGGGGGAAGCTGTTCAAAATAGTGTAACTTGGCGCTCGAAGCGTATTAAGCAAAATTCTAATGTCGGCAGGCAGAATATAGATGTAGAAAGATTCAGACACCTCTAATCTCGAAATTTCAGCCCTCCCCTTGTAAACATGCTCCTAAACATGCGGTTGGGAGAAAAAACTTAATTTATTAATGACTCGTTCATGATAGCTCATGGACTTCCACGATCCAGATCTGCAGATAATCTATCCAGCGCTTGGCCAATACGAACTCAAGGACGAACTACTGGACGCCATGTGTCTGGACGCTGCAGACTTTTACTATCAAGATTTCTACGAGGCAGAACATATTTGCTCCTTCTACCTACAGTATGGACCGGTGGCGGCACAAGACCCTATCACAGCCCAATCCGTTATGAACCCAACAGTAGTAAACTCTATGTTCTATTCTTACTATGGCTATTCATACGAGGAAAAGGACTTGATTGTGGTTGAATGGAATTCACAAGATGGTGAGTTATAATTTTCGATTGCCAAGGAAAAATTTTCAGACTCTAATTGAAAATAATAGTTGTTTTTTTTTATCCTCCACAAGCTTTATAAAAAATTGGAGCTAAATATTTCATCAAATTCAGCAATAATCCAAACGCCAGATTGTTAAAAATGAAATGTGTGCGTATGTTTAAAAATAGTTAATATCACTGTTATAGTAGATATAAATGTAGATTAAACTAATCATTTTTATGACTCAAAAATTATGATCCTATTCGTTTTAAGTTCCCGTCGGCGAGGTGAACATTGAGTTTGATGACGTAGTTGCACGAAAACTAATGGGCGAAAACTCGACAAAATATGTCAACTTGGGGAACAACGTTTTCAGCAGGGAAAGTTCCCAGGGCTCTGATGATTTTCTCATTCTTGACACTTTCCTTCAAATGCGGCATGAAAACTTTCGGTCCACCTTCAGCTTCGTGGCAACTTGGTACAAGGTCACAAACCATCTGACAAAAATACTTCATTTCAACAGCTATCAAGCTATAGTTGTGTGTGGAACACAAGAAAATCGCGTTGAGAAAAGGTGTTTCATCATCTTCGACTTCTTCGAAATCAATTTCACCTCTGATTTAGCCAGTGCTGATTTTCAATCTGGAATTTACATGGGAACTTTAGGCAAGTCAAATATTTTAATCTGCATAAATTATGCCATTTTTTTTCATGCATAATTTTTTCTACAATCGAGAAAAAGAACTGTCTGTCTTAATTTGAGTAATTTCAACTGATGAAAAAGTAGTTATTGAAAGCTACTGCACTAGAAAACTTTCTGCACATTTCTCGAAAGAGTTTTTCGTACATTTTTGAGTAAAAAATTTCACCATAGTTATTGTTCTTGTAGTTTGAACCATTTCAGGGGGTTACACGTTACCTCGATCCGGACTAGACGTAAGACACTACCAAGACACTACCAACTTCGGAATTCCGGGAATTTGGGTGTTCGAATTGAGTCAAAATAATTCTGACCCCCTGGTTATTTCACCTTTTGACCTCAACATACGCTGCCCAGACGCCACTTTGAGCAAATCACATGCTTCTATGTTTTCAACTGGAGAGATCCTAACTTTCGGACCCTGTCCAGCAATTGGAGGTGCCGGAGGACTGGTCGAGTTTTCCTTCAACGGGCGACAGGCTTTCAGAAAAAGAGTGCAAGCTGAGGATTTTGACGGGATTAATTTTGACTACGCAGTTGTGAAAATTCCAGAGTTTTGGGGCATACAAGACCAGGTTCATTTTTATCATAACCAATTTTTCGCAAAGCTGTGGCAGCAGTTGTAGGATCGGTGATCCTAACACTTTTTCCCCAAACTCAGATTGTGATTGAGAGTTTTACCTTGACAACTGCATGCAGTACAATGGAAGTTATTGAGTACGTGGCTTTTTTTTTTCACTTAAAAAATAATAGAAAAGTACACAAACGGTCGAGTCCAAAATAAGTTTGAATCTTAAAAGAAGTAGTCCTTCAAGTAGCAGAAAACCCAAGTGAAGAGAGATCAGTCCTAACCCTAACCCCCCAAATGGAAACTAAGGAAGCTAACTTTATGAAACTTATACGACGGACATGCAAAAATCTATACCCCTCGAAGGTTCCCGGAAGTGCAAATCGCCCTATTAGAACTCGGTAACTAGTGGTTGGAATGGGACCAAAAACTAATATGTTATAAACCAAGTTGAGGGCAGCCTGGACATCTACTTTAGGTGTTATACCCCAAGCAAATAGTCCCCACCCTGACTCCCGGAAGACGTTTCTGGCGCCCCAGTGAACGCAGGTAGCCAAAATTTTTGGATATCATAGATACGGGCGAGATATTTCATGTGTTATCTTATGAGCCAAATCCGGCGGTTGGACCGGATGTAATTAGCACTTGTGAAAAACATCTCTTAACCCGGAAAAAGCCAATTTTTGCAAAATAGGCAGCGAGGGCACTTCGATTTTTTTGCAGCGATAGGCACTAGATGTAAGCTTCGAAAAAAGTCCCCTAGTGAGTAAAACCCCTCCGGCGATTCCTTCTGGTGTTACTAGCTTTTTCCTGGAAAAAAAGATGATGAACTTTAGAAATGGGATAACTTGGAAAGTTTTAACGGGCTCTGAATGGAACTTGATAGATAGGACTCCTTAAAATTTTTCAACCCGAATAGGGAAGGTTGACCCCTGGATGCCCTTTAAGTGACTTTTGGGCGTTTAGAAGCAAAACTGCGTAGGAAACCCCAAAATTAAACATGGAAGGTGGCGTATTCCTGAGCCACAACGTTTTGGAAAAGAGAAGCGGTCACCTTACTTATAATTGGGAGGGCACTTAACTACTGGGAACTAAAACGGAAGCTGAAAAAGATCTTACTTTTCTTTTGTAAAACAGAAGTAATGGAACTAATTAAAGTGGACTTGGAAAATATGGGGACTTGGTTCAGCTTAGCTTGGCGAATGCTCTATTGAAAGAAGGTCAATCAGACAAAAGAAAGATAGTCCCAGAAGAAAAAACGCAGCAATAGGAGCATGCCATGGGAGACGGAAAACAGAAATTTGGACGTAGAAAACTTGACTGTCTTCCTTTTCTTTTTTTGGTTTATTTTCATCCAGTCGTGCGGGTTTTTGACTGTGCTTCAGTCTCTGTTGAACAGTTTTTACTTGACTCGTGTATGTTGCTTGGCAGAGGCGGATTTAGGGGAGGGCAGGGGGAAAACTCTTCTCAGGGATTTCCCTTTTGTACTATTTTGAGATATCCATTTTGGTGACGGAACCTGAAAATTTTGGTGACGGAACACACTAGCAAATGGTGACTAATTATGATGGGGTGATAATATCATCTCTGAAATCAAGTTTCGCTGAAACCCGGCATCTTGGATGTTATTTCCATTTAACTCAATCATTATTTAGGCTTTCGAGTGCACTTGGTTTTAAAAGCTCTTTTTCCAACAATCCTGTGCAGAAAAAAATATCAGAAAGCTTATGGTATTAGAAAATTTGCCCGAAGAGCAGTCTTTGCCTTTAATTATCCAGCTGTTTAAGGAACCTGAAGTTAAACAAAAAACTTCGCAGTACCCAGAAATGACTAAATTATTACGATATTTTCACAAAACCTGGATATTGACTTTTGCCCGAAAAATGTGGAATGTTTTGAATAATCCAGCAGGACTGAGGACTACAAAATTTTGCGAAGGCTGGAACAGCGTATCAAATTGAAAAATTCAATGAAACAAGTTTGTGGTTGGCAACCCGATTTTTGAAACAACAAGAAAAAATTGTCGACAATCAGCTAAGCGTATTCGTATCGGACAACCTTCGCCTTACCAAAACCGAAAATGGGCGATTTTTGAGGTGAAGCGCGCGACAAAAAAAACGCAATTATTCCGGAAATGGCTTTTTTGACCGGTTTTTTTTTCAAAAATTTGCCTGTGGCGCAGAAAATTTGGCCAGACAGTGTCTTTTTAGTGCTTTCGGAGAGCTCGGAAAATCAATTTTGTCGACCTAAACTTTTAAAAAACCGCCCTCTCTCGAGATATCCTAGATCTACCCCTTTATACATATATACTTCTTTTAACATCGACAACCGGTTACTGCGCAAGTAGCACAGAATGTTCCGTCTATAGTATTAAAAAATACAACTAGGTCGTTTTTTTTGCTGCGTGGTTTGATAAAAAGATCTGAACGAAAAACTAGCGCTAAGCATTTTCGACAGTCTTAGTAAAATAAACCAATTGGACAACAATGTTTGTTGAAAAATGACAAGAAAAACAAAAAAATAGTATAGATAGTTCCTCGATATTGAAACAATTTTTTGAAAAATCATATTGTCGTTCTAATCACTACTGAAAACGTTTCATTAAAATATACCACTCGACCCATTCCGATGATTAATTGTGGTAACTGATTTTGCGTGGAAAACAAACAAATTTAAAAAAAATGAAAACACTCCCGAATACGAAGTTTCTCCTCATTTTTGAAATGATAGGAAAAATAAGTATGTTGTTCATATGAGAAAGTATGGCAAGATGATTGAATTTTGTTTTGCTTTCTTGATTAGGTGGAATTAGAAGTCCAACTGTTTTCTCCAGCTGAAGTGTCTGATCCAAATCTGGCCACTTTTGACTTTTTCTTCACGGCCCCTGGACAATTGCGTGGAAATTTGCTGACTAGTTTAGATATCAAAAAACTGAACGAATCAACGGTCTCTCTGAAACTACAAGGCAATGGAGAGACGGTTCAAGTTCAAGTTTATGTGGCGGAATTGTCAAGTGAGCGCTCATCTTTTCATAATTCACGAATGATAAAAGACAAGACAATGCGGCCTGATTTCTATGAAGTACACCCAAGTTTTAATAAAAAAAAACTACAAGATGTTCGTTACATGAAGTTTTACGTTTTTATTTACACTTTTTAAAAAAAATCTATGCGTATGCGATCAAAAACTGCAATTTGATATGCAAGTGATCTTTTTTTTCAAATTTTTTAACCGATTGATGACAACGGAACAAATATTAGAAAATAAGCAAAAATTCTGAAAAAAGATCTACTTAGTGTACCAAAAAAAAGTTTTGAACAAATTGTATAGTTTTAAATACTTAATTATAAATTGCTTTTTCAAAACAAAATTAGGCTTTCTATTGTACCAGAAAATGAAAAGGTTAAATTTAACAGTTACTAAAAGTAACAAAAAACGAGAGCTAACAAAAATGAATGCTCTCTCAGCTGGTCCTGGTTTTGACATGCGACAACTACAGACTTTCGATTTGGTGGACAACAATACCGATGAGTTTATTTATCAAGGGGACCTCGGCTTGTTCACGGTCTTCAAAATCAAATCACATATCGATGGACAAGGTATGCATATTTACAGCCCGCCCTTTTTCGGTTTAAAACTTCATCGGTTTAAAGTGCTGGCTACAGACTTTCGATTTGGTGGACAACAATACCGATGAGTTTATTTATCAAGGGGACCTCGGCTTGTTCACGGTCTTCAAAATCAAATCACATATCGATGGACAAGGTATGCATATTTACAGCCCGCCCTTTTTCGGTTTAAAACTTCATCGGTTTACTGGCCTATCACCGTCTCTTTCTATCTCTTTCTAAACAAAAAATAAAAAATAGTTCTCAAAACAGTTTGTTATAATGATTATGAGTATAGTTTATCAATCACCAATCAACCAACTTGAAAAAACGCTGATGACCTTGAGGTCGCCATTTGATACACGCATATCTTTGTCTAGATCCTACTGGGCGACGGTTTTTTGTACTATTTTAATTAAACTTTCACTTTCAGATTTTTTAAGCAAAAAAATTGGCATAAACAAAGCTTTTTAGTTCCTTTTATCGATTCCCTGCTGTATGAAGTATAAACTATTTTTTGGCTCTATTTTCAGAACTCTCTTCTGGTTTTGTTGCCGGCTCTTCCGAGGGAAAAACCTGCGCTGAATGGCGAACCGATGACATGGATGCTTTTTACAAGGGTAATAAAGGCAATCACAACTGCGAAGAAAAGATACAGACCGTTTTCCCCTGTCCAAGAAACCCAGTAATGCCTGAAGAGTTTTTGAACAATAGTTCCTTGGTTGCCGAAAGTGACGCGTGGTGGGCAAGAGAAGAGGTCACACAAAATAATTCAAGCAGAATATCTCCTGACCTCAAAAAATAAATTGCAGACTTTGGCGGGGTACCGTCTGAAGTTATTATTTTTTTTAAAAAATTAAAGCACATTTTGATATCAGTTGTTTGATTTATAGATCTTTTTAACAGATCATTTCTATGGTTCTTTTGAAACAACTCCATGCAATTTTTACTGACTCTTTTAACAAATTTGAATATTCATGAATTTTATTCTAATTTTTCTAACAATTCTTCCTAAATTAACTTGAGTATAAACTGGTGAAAAGATATCAATAAAAAATCATGGCTTTTTTTTTAACTTTATGAAACCAAAGAGTTATCCTAATAATAAACAATTGCTTATTAGGGTTAAGTACTTGGTTTAGTGTTTAAAATGTTAACATGATGACTAACTCATGATCAGAATGAGGACCGGGGAGTTCCTTCTGCTTGAATTGTGCTCAAAGGTCACAAGAGGTCTCACTGGATGGCAGTATGACTTATGCTGTAACGACGTCGATCCAGGCACCATGTCAACCTTGAACGACCTTGGAATCTGTTCAGACTCTGAATGCGAATTCAATCCAGGGGCTCAGTTTTGCATTCGATCGCCTTTAATGGACTGCGATTTTCTTGACTCTGATACGAACCGAAAGATTTCGACCCAGTGCTGCTATAAAAACGATGGAAGTCTTATTGATGATCCTAGTTTGCCAGAGGCTGGAGGCATGCAAATGGGCTTTAACTCAAAAGAGACAATTTTGGAACATTTTTACCAAGATTTGATGCCCAAAAGAACATGCTGCTTCGATGAAGACCTTTGTACCTTGTTCCGTGGAAGACGAAGAACAATTGTCGGCGACTACAAGGGTTCAATCATGGTCTCGGCTGAATTCGGCGGGCATTTTATGTCCGAAAACGGCTTCGAGTTTCACTATCTGGGTGTCGGAGTTTTCGATCTTCTGAAAAACGTTCCGGATGACAATGAAAATGACGTTAGGGTTCAAATTACGACCAGTGCTTTTGAAAACAGTGTCGTCATTCGGGGCGTGGCCTTTTCAGCTGCGGGTCGCAAGATTGAAATTATTCGGCCAGATTATCATTTGGGACAGTCATTGTTACTAATCGACGGTTTCCAAAGCACACCAGAGCTTTTTAACTTCAGAGTCGGTCATTTTATTGAAATTGACCTAAGCGAACCATCTGAAGTCTCGGTTCGAGATTTGAGATCTGGCTTCGTGATGAAAGTTTTGCAGCTGCCTTTGTATATCATTGTTTATATTCGGATGCCGCTGACCGGAAATCAGAACACTGAGCTTTCCGGAGGTGTTCTTGGATATCTCGACACGAACATCTTTTACGGCGATAGCTCTCTGGGCTAGTAGAATAATATAATTAATTCTAGTGTTTTTGGCTGGTATAAATGAAGTCCAGGGGAAAAGCGATAAGCTTGACTCATCAATAAAAAACTTTATAGATTTTTTTATTTTCCAACTCGCTGTTATCGCTGCCATAAGATGGATTATTCGCAACATCGCATACTGGAAAAAATGTTTTTTTTTATTTTTGCAGAAAGTTAACCTAAGTAATGATGATGCCAAATAATTGTTTTATGATTTATTTTGAGTCCAATTCTTGATGAGCCGATTTAGTTACTTGCATATAAAAATGTGTTTTATGATATCATTTTGAACACAAACATTGTAATAAAACGGTGTATTCAAAGCTTTTTTTAGCTCTGCACGCTCAACTAACCGATTGGTTCAAAGTGACGAACGAGACTGATTGGTTGTTCAGTTCGCAGTTCGCAGATGTGATCAAATCTGAAATGGCGGCTGCTGAAACAAATCTGAGCTATTTCGTACCAGATACAGCATATGAAACATACGGACAGGTCATTTTGTTTTCACTTCTTTTTTTTAAATTCAAATCTCAGTTTGCATTTTGTCTAAACTCACTTTTTTGTTAGAATAAAATATCAGTTATCAGTTGGTAACAGACAGCAAGTGAAAAGGTTATAAAACATATATGGTAATAACTGATTTCATCTATGTAAACTATCGGTAAAATTATTTGACGAAAGTCAAAGAGAAATTGTCGACGACATGAACTTATAAATTTCTTACGCTTTATGAACAATATAATATTGTTGCTTTTTCAAGTTCAGGCAGCAAAGATGGAGTAGTTGTTAAGTAATTGTTAATTGTTAAGCGAAAGAGTAAGAGTAATTGTTCAGTTCTGTCTCCTGTTTTTGAATGTTGAAAACGATTTTTTTTTTAAAAAAATGGTTGTTTTCAGGATTGCGGTATGGTTGACAAATGTGTGATTGACGCTTTTCTCGCCGGCGGAGAAGGAGTGCTGGTGCCTCAGAGCTACGATCTGGCGCGAAGTCTCGACACGCGGGGATCCAACTCTCAAATATTTTCAGATCTGTTCCGAAGTGTCCTTGCTTTCGTGGAAACTACTGATGCAGTATGATATTAGAATTAAAGTTGACTCGTTTTAAGTTCAAATAAAATTTCGGTCAAACTAATTGGGATTATGTGAGAGGTTTCTAATCCAGTACTTTTTCTTAGTTCAATCATGTTGCATTATCAGGAATGGCATTCAATATTGGATTAAAGCCCTGTTCGGGGTTTCAGACTAAATTTATTATAATTTTCAGGGCTTATAGAACTTTAGCTTTGAGCTAGTTTTTTGGCGTTGCTCCTCCAACTGTACAATTTTAAAAGTGGCATAGAAGGTACTTTTTATAATACCCCCTTTATATCCATCCGGGTATGGATATGCAGGGGGTATAAAAAAGTACATTCTATGCTAATTTTAATATTTTGCTGTTGGAGAGGCAACACCATAACAGTTGCTCAAAGCTAATATTCTGTATCCCTCGAAAATTGCATTCAAAACAGTTCACTTGTCCCTTTTGAAAGCAATTTTCAAGTGTGATATAAATTCCCTGGACAATAATACAATTTTTGTTGTGTCCATCGAAAAAAGGGCTTAAAAATTTTCTACCCAGGTCTTTTGAGGAAAAATGAACTCATGTTGTATTCACTAAATTACATTTAAAAAAGTTAATTTGCTGTTTGTTCTGAACTTTTTTGTTTTTATTCTAGATCACTACAGAAATAGAAGTGACTATAACAACGACAACAGCAAACAGTTCACGAGTCATGATCATTTTTCACCAACTGTTGGCTCTAGTCATGACCTTCGTTTTTCATTCGGATCTTCAGCTTCAATGAAAAACAATCAACCATGTCTTAACATCAATTCTTTTCCAAATTCCTAAATAATTATATCATCTCCCGTCCTCTGAAACAATTTAGTTATGAAGTCTACAGTAACATTCGTAATTTTCCTTGTGTCTTTTAAAAAGATTAGAATAAGCAAAATGTTGTGAAAATAGGGTAAAAGAAGTAAATTAAATTCTATCAGAGCCAATAACTTTAAAAGCTATCTTTACTTTCGCGTATATGTATTTGCAGGGGCTGATCTAGGATTTTCTCGAGGGGCGGGCGGCTTTTCAAAAAATTTTGAAGATTTTGCCGACCTTTTTTTAGGTCGACCTAATTGATTTTCCCAGCTCGCCCAGAACACTAAAAATGACAGCGTCTCTGGCAAAATTTGAAAAAACAGGCCAAAATGGCCGTTTTAAAACACTTTCTGGAAAATTTTGACCAAAAATTTGCGTTTTTCGGCGCTTGCTCCGCCCTCAAAAATGGCATATATTAAGAACGGAAAATCATAGCCCTAGTTATTTTCTATGATGAGCGCAATGCATAGAGAAATCTCTCAATTATTTGCATCATTTGGCCAAAGAAAATTTTGATCAAAGCGACGATTTCTTGTTTACGATATTAAGAGTTTTAAAAACGACGATGTTGAGAACAAAAATTCATAGCCCTAGTTCTTTGAATATGCTGAGAGCAATGCATAAAAAAAATCAATTATTTACGTTAATTGGCGAGCAAAAACTATAATCAAAGCGACGATTTCCTTTTTTTTTTCGCAGAACAGAAGCGTTGAACATAGAAAACACATCAACATGTTGGAGTTCCTGTGTAATTGTTACCAATGAGACGAAAAGTGTCTTGACCAAAGTCATTTATCAGGGTAATTTGTGGAAAGGGCACCTGAAAAAAGCAATCTTATGAGAAAACTGTGAATTTTACGCCTTTCATTGGACATAGCATGCAGATTAAAGAACTCCATCCTTTTTTCTCGCACTGTCTAAATGCCAGACAACAAATATAATAATTGTTATACCCAGCACCGACAAAAAAACGTTTCGTTAAATATTGGGCTTTTAAACAAAACTGCCTAACAGTTTTACTTGAACTGCCAATACTTGAGTAATAAAAAAAGAACGGAATTGACAAAAAAACTATTGAGACAAAAAAACTAATGAGTTTTTTTGACTCGTGCAAGCTTTGAATAAGTCCTTGCGAAAATTGGTTGATAAAAATTACCAGTGGAGAAAAAGTCTAGTTTCAAAGTGTAATTTGCAAAAAAAAAAAACAAAAAAGAACAACGAGGCGTGATACGGCAAAACAGTTTCCAGACAAGATTAATTGAAAAAGTTTTCCATGAAAAAAAGCTAAACCTCTTGGAACATTGGTCCACAAAAGTTGCATAATCAGAAATGGATCAGAACTTGCTAACAGAGTATCTGGCGAATTCAATTGTCAGAACCTCGAGGACTTCTCCAACTTGTATCTCGAAATCGATAATTACCTCCTTGCTTACGTCATTGAAAAACATTTCAATGACTACGCCTTTCATTGGACATAACATGCAGATTAAAGAACTCCATCCTTTTTTCTCGCACTGTCTAAATGCGAGACAACAAATATAATAATTGTTATACCCAGCACCGACAAAAAAACTTTTCGTTAAATATTGGACTTTTAAACAAAACTGCCTAACAGTTTTACTGCCAATACTTGAGTAATAAAAAAATAACGGAATTGACAAAAAAACTATTGAGACAAAAAAACTATTGAATTTTTTTGACTCGTGCAAGCTTTGAATAAGTCCTTGCGAAAATTGGTTGATAAAAATTACCAGTGGAGAAAAAGTCTAGTTTCAAAGTGTAATTTGCAAAAAAAAAAAGAACAACGAGGCGTGATACGACAAAACAGTTTCCAGACAAGATTAATTGAAAAAGTTTTCCATGAAAAAAAACTAAACCTCTTGGAACATTGGTCCACAAAAGTTGCATAATCAGAAATAGATCAGAACTTGCTAACAGAGTATCTGGCGAATTCAATTGTCAGAACCTCGAGGACTTCTCCAACTTGTTTCTCGAAATCGATAATTACCTCCTTGCTTACGTCATTGAAAAACATTTCCAATTTAGCACCAAATTTTTGGTTTGGGATGTGCGCACGTTTCCAGTGCTTCGAAGCTGGCTACGCCTTCAAACGTATCTGAAAAGACTCAAATGTTCAGCTTATATCGGACTGTAGAAAAAATTGAATTGGTCAATATTATGATGCGGGTTGGTGTCGTATCTGTTTCACAGAAACGCAAAAAATGACCCGAACTCAACACGGATTAACCTAGCAGCTGTGGATTCAAGTTTTAATAAAGTTTTTAGTTCACATCTGGTCTTCAGGTAATGTCTGATCTCACCTGGACCTCAGATTAGCTTGATTTATTAACCGCAAAAAAATTATAAGAAATCGGATCCCACAAAAATTTTTTCCACCTCACTTTAGTAATCATCCTTAATTGGAAAAAAAACCTATAATTATATATTAAGCAGCCGACATTAAAAAAATCAGCCAAAGTTGTATCGAAAGCTGGACAGAAGATGCGATCTCATCAGCAATTTCGAGAAACATTGACCTCTGGCTCGATGTTAAGTACTACAATCCGTCGCATCGCATCCAAGTCCAACAATCTGCAAACTGTGACTTCAACAAAAATTTCGTTAAATAGTTCTTGTTTTCAAGTGGCACTTCCTCAATTGTGGCCCGACATTTATCACGTGCGGCCACAAAATATCGTGAGTCAAATTGCGAACAACAAACATTATAATGATGACATTGCTGCCGCTTTAAATTTGGACCCAACTGATGAGGTCATTTTGGAAAAATGGATGCTTTTTTCGAACATTGTTAACATCCAGCAACATGGTTGTTACAATTTTTGTATGGGGCATCAAAATTTTTCGCCAATACCCATAACGTTGATTGGAAGCAACCAAAAAATGATGATGAACACTCTGAGGATAGTTTTGCCATTGAGAACACGAGTTAAAGTTCTTCACTTACACAGTTGATGGACTAAGCCGATAGCAGCTGGCAAACTCTAGACGCCATAACAATTCGTGTAGCAGAATCAACAGAAAAAAAATCAGATAGCAAAGATTTTTCCGATAAAATCTTTTTCAATTAAGCGAAAGATTTTTTAGCATACTTTTCAAGTATTTGTACGTAAATTAAGAATGAATCAAAGTTTTGAAAGGCATTGAGCAAACGGAAATTGTCGCAGTGAAATTCACTAGTTATTAGAGCAAATTCTTTGTAAATTAAGTATGAATCAAAGTTTTGAAAGGCCTTGAGCAATTGGAAATTATCGCAGTGAAATTCAACATTTATTAGGACAAATTCTTTGTAAATCCCCTCGCGCAGCGAATATGTAATCACAACGATCAGTCGAAAACTCAATAACACGCGGACTTTACTTGAGGGTTTTACTTGAGGACTTTTATTGATAAACTAGTACATGGCGATTTCTAGGATTTCCACATGGTGACTCTTGCTGATCAGTTAACACCTGTTGAACATTTTGATTTTAAACGCAATGGTCCTCCATAGATGACGCCCTCATCATTTAGTATTGTGTGCTTAGAAATCATATCTGGTAGTAAAAAAAGTGACGCTGATTAGAAACTGGACCATCAATGGCAGGCACTGGTTTTGCACTGAAACATCGATGTTTATCACTGAGAGCTCAAGTGCTTTCCTGAAAAAAACGTTGATTTTGAAGATTGTCTGAAAAGTATCAAGCTATTCATCATATTTCTTTTCTTTCCGAAGATATGAGCCAGAAAGATTGAGTCCTCAACCGGAAAGACTGAGTCGATTGAGTGTTTTTCAATTGTATTTTTGAGTTTGAGAAAAAAAAACCTTTCTTTTCAAGTCTAATTACAGTTTTCGGCTGAACCATTTTTTTAAATCACAAACCAAGCAGCGAATATGTATTCATATCAAAATTTGATCGAAACTCCGCCTGACCTCTGTGTGCTACTTGACATAATGTGCCGAGATGAAAAAAAAGTTTAGTAGGATTGTTGAACTGCTCGACGAAAGGCGTGGAGTTTCGAGAAAGTTTTTGGAGACCTTTTTAGGCTTATCGTTTTTCAAAGCTCTCCAAAATCATTATAAACAATTTCTCACGTCAAATTTTCTAGCTCTACAATTTCATTTCAAAAAGCTAATTAAGCCAGTCTTCAGAAAAAACTGAGGCTGGTCAACGAAAGTTAGTCTGGTGGTTGAATCTCTGAGAGAGGATGAAGGATGAAGCGTCCGCCATCCCTCGCCTTCTTCCGTTATAGCTATTCGTTCAAGACCTGATTGCAGGCTATTTTGCGTTCCACTCGATTACAATACAATCCACAATTAGAAAAAGTTTGATCACATGCAAAGTATGAAATAAAATATATCATATTTCAAACAAGGATAGCCAGTTGCCGTGCAAGTAGCACATAATGTTTTGACCATAGTTGTTAAAAAACTACGATTTCGAAAGTTTTTTTTTCAAATGAGTGTAGATTTTTCTGCTTGGTGGGACAAAAAGACAATTTTCCTGGATTCCAGAGACAAGTCTTAAAACTTGGTAAAGTTTTGTCGGAACGATCAAAGAGAATGAAAGAACAAAAGAAGAACAAATGGAGCGTCCTTGTCGCGGAATCCAATTTTGTATGTTTCAAGAATACAATTTTTGCATGCAAGCACCATAAAAATTATGCTACTCATATCTTTTTATACAAATTTAAAAGGTATAGAATTTATGAGATAATGAATTGAAAATTTTTGACCATATACGCCTTAAAGATAAAAAAAACAACATATTTTAGGCTGACTTACCTGCACGTCATCTGAATTTGAGAGACAATTTGGTGCAATTTTCATGCTATTCATTCAATGTTAAATAGTTAAAATAGTTTGACTCATAAACACTTTCCCTGGTTATATTGAAAGAATAACAAAACATAATCAATTGCATCATGTTGCAGCGCAAATATAAAACAATAGTACAAATTCATATAAACGTAAATGTGCGAGAGTATAA